AACATGATGAGGGATTCAGCATGATATCAGAACAATTAGACAATGGCAAACAACACATTCCATCCCAAGTATTTACTCTTCAGGCTTTTCAGATATTAAACATTTTCTTGAGTTTGTTCATCTAAACCGAAAGTTATTGAAGCCTCTGAGAATAATCTTTCATCTCCGTCTGTGTGTGTGTGTGTGTGTGTGTGTGTGTGTGTTTGTGTGTGTGTGTGTGTGTGTGTGTGTGTGTGTGTGTGTGTGTGTGTCTGTGTGAACAATTAGACAATGGCAAACAACACATTCCATCCCAAGTATTTACTCTTCAGGCTTTTCAGATATTAAACATTTTCTTGAGTTTGTTCATCTGAACCGAAAGTTATTGAAGCCTCTGAGAATAATCTTTCATCTCCGTCTGTCTGTGTGTGTGTGTGTGTGTGTGTGTGTGTGTGTGTTTTTTCTCTTCTTTTCTCTGCCACATACTGCAGGGATGCTTGTTTGTCTCCTATGAAATCTTTAGCCTTTACTGGTGAGAAACTCTGCCGTAAATTAACACCTGAGGGCAGCTACACACACACACACGTTGACAAATAAATGAGGACATACTATTTCCCAGGGGACTTATGTTGTTGTTTATTTTATTAAGCTAATTATAAATACAGACAAACAAAGCAACGTGTGTCATAAAATTATTTAGTCTTTTGTTTTTTCCCTCAAGTTGCAATTAAACATGCCGTTTTTGTAACTCTACCTTTAATACATATGTAAATGAACAAATCACGTTTTGACTTCAAACTGTTGCTGTTGGCTAAAACACGAATCCATAATAACGCTTCCTCCAGAGAAAAAGTACATCTCCTGTTGTCTCTCACATCACAATCCACTCACATATTTGTTTAGAGCTGTTTTAGACTGTTTTGGCTTGTAAAGTTTTGAGTGGTGTGGATTACTGGATTATTGTGATGTTTTTATCAGCTGTTTGGATTTATTTTGATGGCACACATTCACTGCAGAGGATCTATTGGTGAGCAAGTGATGTTTTTTTGTGCAAATTCTCATTTTTGGGTGAACTATTCCTTTAAGTTAAACTTATGTTTAGGAGTAGGGTTAGCTGCTCAAAATCGTTTTTTTTCTTAATATGACGCCTCTTTTTAATGGCCAAAGATCTGAATGATTCAGCAAATTTTGCTTCTGTTTCCAGAAGTGTGTACACTTGCAACATATAAAGCATCGGGAACATTCAGAGTTGTGGCAGATTTGTTTGATAAACTATTATTAAATATAAATGTACACTAAATATGCACTTATGAAATATGGCTTTATTAATAACTACAAACCAACATCTGGTCTCAAAATAGCAAGCTCCGAGTGACAGCTGAATTTATGCTAAATTTGCAGCCTTATTGCTTGCAGGTGTGCTATCCTGCTTTTCTGTTTATCTGTTTCATTTGATGCATATTTTAGTATTACTGTCCTGTTTTGTTAACATAAAATAAAGAATAAAAAACAACAATAAAACAACTCATACAATATTTTGTTTGAGGTGTGATCAATATCGAATTTAAGCACCTCCTTTCACTGAACATCAAAGAAACAATAGTAAAGATTCATGTCACATTTGAAGAAAAAGCATTATTTTTTGTCTTCCCTGGCCCATGAGATCCACTTTTTCTGCAGACTTTTAGCTCTAACCCTAATCAAACACACCTGAGCATGCTAATCAATGTCTTCAGGATCATTAGAAAATCACAGGTAGGTGAGTTTGATCAGGGTTGGAGCTAAACTCAGCAGCGCATTGGCCCTCCAGAGCAAGATTTGAGGAACCCTGTGTTAAGAGTTGTAACCTGTATTACAACCCCCAAAGAGCAACACACACGGCAGAACAGGCCTCTGGTTACCATGGCAAGCAATGACAAATCATCTGATAACATTGGTTTTATTGCTCAAAGGAATGTGGAACTCTCTCCATTTCAAGACACATAATGCCCATAAAAAGGGACTTTTTCCCATTCATTCATAGAAAACCTTCTATGAATGAGCATACATATCTCCAGGACATTGTGTGTATGATTATTACTGTCTTGTATAGTGTCTTTTGTATTGTATTCCGTTTTATGCATGCTTTATGATTGAACCCCAAGGTAATGTAACCTTATTGGTATCATACTTCGCTGGACGAACAGATTAGTTGATGGTAATATTAATTCTGCTACAGCTGCTACTGGCACCTGGTATAAATAATTGTAATTATTTATATACATTTCCCTTTTGGGCTAATTTGCTAAATTGGGTATTCAGACGTGCTTGTGACGGTCCGGCTTCACCTCTTTCGGACCTCTGAACACAGCACACAAAACATCATTGTGCTGCGTGAATGAACGTCCAGAGCGGCTCATGAGACGTGTGTGTCTGTGCTGTGAGAGACGGTAACATGAGCCTGTTATCTGCCGCAGATGAAAGAGCGTGTGATGCTAACTCTATTGTTGTTTTCTGTGTGTGTGCGTGTGTTTCTCATGGTGCTGTGTTACCTAAAAACGTAACCGAAATGAATAAAGACTTCAGCCTAGCTTCGTTTTCCCCTGTTTCTCATGTTTTCTTTTTATTCAGGTCAGCTCTTCAGGTAAGCTGGAATGTCACTGTGCCCCGGAGCTTTCTGAAGACCACAGAGAACCTGTCAGGGAGGGTGTTTAATGTGTTAAACCGTGATATACACACTCACACAGCCTGTGTGTGTACATGTGTGCCTCAGGTCTTTTGCTGTAAAAGAGTGGGGAATTATGGGAATCAAGTTTTACTTTTCTTTCTCAGATCTTCTCTTTCATTTTTGTTCTCCTGCAAGAAGCTCATCCATTATGAGAGTCTACTGCGAGCGTTATCAGAGGGGTTGGTGTTTTGTGTTTGACAGTAATCAAAGCAGCTGTTCTGAAAATTAGCCTGCAGAAATACAGTTCACAATAAGCTCAGAATTTGATTTAAAAAAAAAAAAAAATAAATTATGAATTGGATAGTTTGAAGTTGTTGTAAAATAGCTGACATGGGCACATCTTTGACTGCTCATCACTGTATTTGAGCAATAAGGTCCTCCAGGCCCTAAATCACAGCTAAATGACGTCCTTAGAAGAACCAGCAGCACAGCCTTATTGCTTTTATAAAATAGTTACTACATAATTAATGTTTTAAGAAATACAAATAATTTTCATTCAAATGTTATTTTTTAAGCAAATTACTAAAGTACCATTCTTCAACTAGCAGATTTTGTCAAATAAATACATACATACAGACAGTCATGTCTGTTCTGTCTATGTTTAACGTGTCTTTGTTTGTCTTGTGCCTGAGCACATGTCTTTGTCTTTGTTTTTGTTGGCCATGTGCTCCTCTTGTCCCGACTCCTTGTTTCCATTTACCACGCCCCCTTGTTTAGTCATGTGTCTGAAATCGCCCCTTATACCTTTAAATGGGGCAAGATTTGAAGGGACAGCCATTTTTAATGGTGTCTGAAACCTAAGTGGACATTATCGCGTCCACTCATTCAATCCCATAATGCACAGCAATAACGAGTGTACAACCAGTGCACGCTCAACAGCTAGAGAATACCCATAATGCACTGAGAGAGTCAGGCACCGAATGAATTCCCGTATCTCACCAGAAGATGGCACTTGCAGCTGAATCATCCATTCATTCATTTTACAAAGCGCTTATCCACGGCGTAATACAGCGTAATACAACACAGGTATAAACTCATTGTAAATTGATTAATAATTTGTTGAACTAGGGTTTATACATAATTTCCACGACAGAGTTCAAGATAAATCCTTTAATCTTACTACTGGAGCCGCCAGTTTGCCAGTTTCAAATGATTATTAAACAGAAAGCACAAACTATGCAAAAGCGGCAGTCCTCGCACTCGTTTTCATTCACTCCTTCAAGTGAACTCTATTAGTGGCCTAATGAAGGGAATAGTGAATGAGGGTATAGGGGGCAATTTCTGATTCAGCCTTTGACTAGTCCTCATTTTTTTATTGTGTTCACTTGATCCTCGTGTGCTCTGCTCTCTTTACATTTTGCTCCTTTTCCTCATGCCTCTGCTGGTTTGTTGCATGCGATTTTTGTGTGTATGAGAGTTCTTGCTAGTCTTGCTTGTCACTCATCACCATTCCTATGTACCTTGTCTTGTCAATAAATGTCTCTCCCTTAGTCATTTTGAGTCTGGGTCTCCTTTCTCTAGTAGACTGCTGTGACAAAACCTTGACTATACATGTCTTGTATGGTTTCTCCCTCTGTGTCCTTATTTGGTTGTTCCTGTTCTCATTATTAGTTAATCACCTCATTGTGCTCACCTGTCAGCCCCTCGTTATCCACCTTATATCAGTTCCTGTCCATTGTGTTCGAGTTTGTCAGTTATTGTGAATGTTACCCTGTGCGTGTGCTCCTACCCTCTCGTGTATTCATTAAAGTGTTCTGGTTTCCTTCATCCTCGTCGTCCTGCCTGTTCCCTGGCACACCTATGTGCTCTGCTCTCTTTACATTTTGCTCCTTTTCCTCATGCCTCTGCTGGTTTGTTGCATTCGATCTTTGTGTGTGAGAGTTCTTGCTAGTCTTGCTTGTCACTCATCACCATTCCTATGTACCTTGTCTTGTCAATAAATGTCTCTCCCTTAGTCATTTTGAGTCTGGGTCTCCTTTCTCTAGTAGACTGCTGTGACAAAACCTTGACTATACATGTCACACCCCTGTGGACTGTCTTGTATGGTTTCTCCCTCTGTGTCCTTATTTGGTTGTTCCTGTTCTCATTATTAGTTAATCACCTCATTGTGCTCACCTGTCAGCCCCTCGTTATCCACCTTATATCAGTTCCTGTCCATTGTGTTCGAGTTTGTCAGTTATTGTGAATGTTACCCTGTGCGTGTGCTCCTACCCTCTCGTGTATTCATTAAAGTGTTCTGGTTTCCTTCATCCTCGTCGTCCTGCCTGTTCCCTGGCACACCTAAACGTGACAGAATAACTGACCTAAAAACGAGATGTCAACGGCTGAGGACAGGCTTTGGTGTCTGCGGCAGGGTGGTCGGGATTTGGAGAGGTATTTGGAGGAGTTTCTAGAGCTCTCTCACCAGGTGAGCTGGGTGGATTCTGTCCTCGGGGTCTGTTTTCGGCTGGGGCTGGATGATGATGTCATCAGCGTTGCGGTTCCCACGTATAGCTTTTCCCTGATCAAGCTGGTTAATCAGGTCCTGTATCTGAATGACGTTGATATGGAGGTAGAGGAAATTGGGCTCCTGTTCCCGAGTTAAGCCCACGGAGGGCTCCTGATCCCCAGTTAAGCCCAGGAAGGGTTCCTGATCGCCAGTCAAGCCCAGGAAGGGCCCCTGATCCTCAGGCAAGCCCAGGAAGGGCCCCTGATCCCCAGGCCCAGGAGGGGCTCCGGATCCCGAGTTAAGCCCAGGAAGGGCTCCGGATCCCCAGAGCAACCCCCAGGATTCTGGAATTTCCCCAAGAAGATTTTGGGGGGGGCCATACCCCCGTGGCCGAGCCAGCCAATGCCACGGAGGATCTACCACGGCCTCCCGAGTCCCCTGCTCGGCCGTGGCCTCCCGAGGTCCCTGATCCGCCGTGGCCTCCCAGGTCCCCTGCTCCGCCGTGGCCTCCCAGGTCCCCTGCTCCGCCATGGCCTCCCGAGGGCCCTGAACCGCCATGGCCTCCCGAGGGCCCTGAACCGCCATGGCCTCCCGAGGCCCCCGATGGCCACCGAGGATCCACCACGGCCTCCCGAGGTCCCGGATCCGCCGTGGCCTCCCAAGGCCCCTGATCTCTGATCCACCCCCGAGGTCCCTGATCCACCATGGCCCCCCGAGTATCCGGCTCTGCCATGGCCTCCCAAGTATCCTGCTCTCCTGCTCC